TGAACACAGCTCACCTGCAGAGAGGTAGAAGGAACTCTCCTCAACCAATGGGCTCAGAACATTCCTCCCTTAAAGAACAGTGATGCTTGAGAGAAGACCAGCAAAGCACAGTAATTGGACCAAGGCCATGTATCAACTTCATAGATATGTAAAAGTGGCTCCCAAGGAAGAATGTTCTCTCTCTCTCTCTCTCACACACACACACACACAACACCTGCTGAACTATATTGAGATACATTTTCAAAGCATCACATGGGTGTTTAGCGATGTTGCCAATTAAAACCAATAGGAATTGCATAGCATGCCAGACTAGGCTTTCAAGAATTCAGATGCCCTGCACAGCAAAAATGAGAATTGTGGGTTTTTTTAGCCAGAAATGGGGCAAACCAAATCCCATATATGAACATCCTTGAACCTTGGGAGAAGCTTAGATTGGATACTCTGACATTTGCCTGGGCCTGTCTATCTAGTTGTAACTAACTTTCGTGATTTACTTCCTGGTTTCTTAAAACTATCCCAGAATGTGACACATACTATCAGAAGTCTCATTGCAATCCTCGAGGCTGCATCATACTGTGACCTCACAGATCTGGGAAACCCTCAGGGACTCAAGAAGGACCAAGAGAATCTCAGAGAGGGGAAAAAATGATTTTAAAGAGTTAGGTAAAATATGCCTGTGTGCTGAATGGCCCACACAGCCTGGTTAATGGAGTCATTTAGTACTTAAATCTAGCCTTCGTTTTTCATTGCTTTACAGTTCATCCTTAAGGCCAAATTCTGAAAGATTGGTGCCAAAATTGCATTAACTCACACATGATAACAGGTAACTGAGAGCACTATTATGGATTCTGAATGTACCACTTGAGCACCACTGTTTGCAAATTTGGCCCTAAAAATATCAGTGAAATCGGCAGATAAACTCTCTAAAGCCCGGCACTTCCGAGGGAATGCTGCCATTCTGTGTGCATTCTGTGCTGAAATACAGCAAAGAAAGCACAGCTTCTAGTTCTTCAAATTTCATCTTTCCACTCCACGTGGTGAGTCCAGTGCATTTCAGTGGTATTGATGGTACGTTCCCCATCTCAGCAATCGCTGTTGAGCATTAAGATGTTAGCCGCTCTCTCTCCCCCCGCCATTCCGCTTGTCCTTACAAAGCCTCACTAAGATTTAATTTAACAAACCTTATTTAAGTTTTTCTTGGAGCAGTCTCATAATGCTGCTTTACAGGGACTCAGAGGTGATCACTCGCAGAACCATGAAGACGAGAGCAGCTGTTTGGCTGGTCCACATGGGTTAGAGCAATCCAATTTATCATAGACCGTCTCCTCCTATTAGAACAGGCAGGTAAAAGACCTAAGTGCCAATAACAGAGACACAGAAGGTGCTCTGTAAATAATATACTCTCTGTAAATAGACACAGGTTGTACAGGGCGAAATGTTTTCAGATTTTTATACTCTTACCATAGAAACTCCATAAAGCGAAAACCCAGCCATGTCGGTCCAAATTAAAAAAAACCTGCTGAATAACTAATCCGCTGAAAACCAAAGTTTGCAATGGAAATGACAGCTTACAATATAGAGGTGCTGCTTGGGTGGTAACCTCCCATCTTCTGAACATCCCGCTAAAGGAGGAAGAGACTGAAATAAAACGTGTGCAAGTATTGTGCATCCTCGTGGGTGTGTGCATGCCAGTGCAGACTTAGTTGTGTGTTTCTGTATACTGTTTTTGGGCATAATGTATGTTTGAGTGTGTCTGTCCTATATTTATTATTCGTTATTACTGTAGTGCCTACAGCCCTAGGTATGGGCAAGGACCCCAGCACGTGTGTCTACATGCTCCTTCTTTTCTGGGCCTGAAAGCAGAATCATAAACATATCATCTTTTGGTATCCAGGCGTCAGTTTTGCAGACTAAATATAGAAACAGCTGTGCCCCAAAAACACTGACAGGTAAGTATGACAGAAGCAGAAACGAGGGGGTGGTAGCAGCAGCAGTAGATGCCTATCTGTCACTTGCACCGCGCCCTGGAAATAATCACATCCGAATGGCACCCTCTCCCCGCGGGTGGGTTTGAATGACTGTACAGTGCAGAGCAGACAGATTGTTACCGTGACAAGCTTAGGTGTGGCATGGACAGGACAAATATTTCACAGGGGACCACAATGTGGCTGGAATTAAGGAAGGGTAAATAGGACCAGTTGCAGTGGCTGTAGGCATTCCTTGCAATTTTGTAGCTATAATTTGACTGATGCTTCTACCTGGACAGTCACATAGACAGGCAGGGTTTTACACGTGAGCTCTCTATATGTGGCCTCATCAGGAAGGCGTCACTTGTCAGGTTCTTGAGGATGGTGGTGGATAAGGATTCATTTCCCTTCTCCCCCAGCCCCAATGGCTTTCTCATGTGGGACCCCATATGGTTGCATCTTGTCATCCCCCTCCTGTTTATTGTTTGTTTGAAGCAGCTAGAGCAGACTGAGAAATTTTCAGTGCTGGTGACACTCACATCTGTGTCCTTTTCATCAGATCCAGACTTGGCAGTTTCCTTGCTTTTCCAGTGCTTGGCCAAGGACTTCAATAAGAATGAACTGGCTGAGACTTCATCCACACAAGAGAGAGGTGATGATGGTCAAATGGGGGGTTGGGGAAGGAAAAACAAAGAAATTGACAGGGCCTTGTAATGACTCCATCTCTTGCTGGAGTTTGCCCGCTCTGTGCCAAAGATGCTCAAAGATGATCTTGGGGCACTTCTGTGCCTCTTGCTTGTCCAACCACCCGCGTGGTCTTGGATTCCTAGATGGCAACAGTGTTGGTCCCACATTCTTTTCCATTTGCAGCTAGCTGGGAGGTTGCCACCTTTTCTTACTGATGTGGACCTCACCTCAGTCATGCACAACTTGGGCACCGCTAGGTTGTACTGCTACAGTGAACTTTACTTAGGGCTGATCCTTGAGATAACTGGGAACCTTTAGCTAGCGGGGAAAATGCAGCTGATCCACATGAGCATGTTATCCCTGTGCTCCACACACTGCATGGCTTCCGGTTTGGTTTTAAACACTATTGAAGTTGTTGGTTTTAATCTATAATGCCCTATTTGTCTTAGAGACCACAAACCAGACTCTCCCCTGGGTTCTGATTCTTTTGTGCCTCTTTGGCAGCACAGAGGGGTCAGAAATCATCTAGATTTGGCCAGCTGCAAATTATCCCAATGTGTGTGTGTGTGTGTGTGTGGGGGGGGGGGGGACGACATATCAGCTGGCCCAGAGCCAGCATAGCTGGGTCCCGCACCATTCCCACATCCAGCTCTAGGATGGTGGGAGCACAGTGCACTCAATTGCCAGCTAAGGTAGATTAGAGGAACCCCTAGGACTGTTCTCTTGCCCCATGGGCCACCATGATATCTGAACTGCTCCTGACAACAGTACCTAATTGTCTCTCTTTGACAAACACCACATGGGGAATTGAATTGGAGACCTGCATAGTGGAAAGCACAGGTCTTTACAGCTTGAGCTAAGAGCCAGGTTCTGAACTGGAGGCTGCAATGGACTTGCATGCTCTGTGGGTCGGGCACAGAAGGGGACATAATGACCGAGTTACAAGTACTGTTGACGGCTGGAGGCAAAACATTCTCCGTGGAGGGGTCTTGGCTATTTGAAACTCCGGCTGGGGGTCTGTTAGAACTTTAACCCCTATTGTCCTTCATAAAAAAGTGCAAAGTTCATCTCTTCATCCAAGACTTTGTCTAATGTCTTTTCTTTCCTGTTTTTGTTTCATGACTTTTCTTTCATTTTCCCTTTTCTTCCTAACAGCTAACTTTAAAACCCCCCTCTTCCCTTTTTCCCATGCACCACTACCTTGAAGCTGCAGCTTGTCGTGCTTTCAATATTCCTAGGGGTGTCTCGACTCTGTGAGTGCAGCTCCTATTATACATTAAATACCAGTTCTTCTAGATGGAAGGTAGTGCTGGAGAGAAGTAAAGCATTGCCTTAGCTATTAAATATAGAATATGGGATCGCATGAGGCTTGTCGTGAATATAGGATACCTTGACTGAGAATCACTGCGGTATTAGACCGGTCTTGTCGGCTGTGGCAATAAAAAGGAGACAGCCCCCCACGCCATCCTTTTTCTTAGGGGTTTTTTGGTTTGAAGTCCTACTCCCCCCCCGTGAACTACATTAAATCGGATGGAAACAATGTGAGTTTGGGAGGATCATGGTGACAACCACCAATAACAGGTAAATTATACAGTGGTTTGAAATGTCTGGTATGGAAAATACTGCAGATTAGTTGATAATTGGCAGAACCGCCTCAAACGTATGTACCTGTATACAAGGGAGAATACTAAAGTAGGATGACAAGCTATTCAAATCCCATGCTGTATTTCCCACTCCTGCCCCTAAAAGTGTCCCCAGGGGCCATGCCAAGGGGCGTGCTGGGAATATGGAGACAGCTACGGGCTGGGGAGTGCAGGGCCCAGGAGCTTTGGGGCGGGAGGGAGGGTGACCAGCCAGCAAGTGTGGAAAAACCAGGACAGGGGGTGGGGGTGGGGGGGTGGGTAATAGGAGCCTATATAAGAAAAAGGCCCCACAATCGGGACTGTCCCTATAAAATCGGGACGGGGGGGGTCCTGGGGAGCAGCCAGGGGTCTGCACAGAGGGGAGCTGGGGTGCAGGTGCAGAGCTGGGGGGGAAGAGGAGGAGGAAAGCAAGCACCCAGGCCGGAGCGGAGCGGCCCAGCAGCCAGGCCCCCCCGCAGACGCAGGCTGCCCCGCACCCCCGGGGCTCCTCCCCCCCGCAGGCGCTGCCCCTTTAAGGGGCTCCTCCCGCCGCCGCGAATTGCATCAGGCGCGTGCGCGCCGCCGGCCCGGGCCGTCCCCCTTCGGCGTGCGCGCTCCCCCCCCACCCCTTGCCAAGGCGGAGCTGGCGCTGCTACGTGCGCGCGCGGCGGCGGCGGCGGCGGGCAGCGAGGAGGGGGGGGGGGGTGCGCGCGCCCGCCGGCCGGCGCGCTCCCGTGCCAGTCGCGTGGTCTCCGTGCTTCTCCATATTGCTGCGGCTGGAGGGGTGCCCCGGGCGGGGGAGCTGGTGCAGGGAGCCCCCCGACTTGCTCCGGGCGGCGTGCGGCTGAGCAGGGCCCCGCCCGGCGGGGGGAGCGCCTGGAGCAGCAGCCGGGGGGGGGGGGCGCGGCGCAGATGGCGACCCAGGTGGAGGCTCTCCTGCCCGGCAACCGCCTGCTGCCCGCCGAGGAGCACGGGCTGCTCATCAAGAAGCCCCAGGAAGGGGCCCGGGAGAAGGGCGAGCCCCTCATGCCCCACGGGGAGAAGGCCACCGCCGAGGAGGGCAGCGGGGGCGCCCCGGACGGCGGCCCCAAGGGGGGCGGCGGCGGCGGCCCGGCGGGGGAGCAGCCCCGGCGGAGCGCGGCGCCCAAGCCCCCCAGCATCAAGCAGCAGAAGGAGGAGAGCAACAACCAGGAGAAGGAGAACCTGCTGCAGCAGCGCGGAGGGGGCGAGAACCGGCTGCTGGGCGAGGCGGGGGGCAGCAGCGGCGGCGAGGAGGGCGGCGAGCCGGGAGGAGGCGGGCGCAAGGAATTCATCGAGGCCCCCCCGCCCAAGGTGAACCCTTGGACTAAAAACGCCCCGGTGGCCGTGGTCACAGTCAACGGACAGCCCCCCCCAGGTGGGTCCGGGGGTGACCCCGGGGCGGGGTGCGGCGCGGTTGGGGGGGGGGGCGGGATCTCTGGTCTGCAGTACGGTGACTCTGGGTTTTTTTTTTTTGTGTGTCCTCCAACCCCACCCTACTTGGCCCCGTCGCTGTTTCATCTACCCCCTGCCTCGGGGTCCTGTCCCCGCTCAGCCCCCACGCACGAGCTGGGGGAGTGAGCTCGGGTGGGGTGCGTGGGGCTGGGGGCGGCCGGAGGAAAGCGTGGTCGCGAAGGCCTCGGGCTCACACACACGCTCGTCCAGGGCACACGGGAGCTGCCTTTTTTTATGAAAGGCTTCCCCCCCTCCACCACCACCACCACCACCACCCCCCGGGGCCGTAACACAAATGCTGAGAAGGGGGCCCCGTGTGTGTGTGTGTGTGTGTGTATGGAGGGGGGGAGGTTTGTTCAGAATAGATCATAGATCACCCCCCCCCACCCCCCCCAGTTTAGCGTTGCCGTATTTCCCACGTTGTAAATGCTTAATGAGTCTGTTTGGCACGGGCCAGAAACAGAAAGCGCCCTCCGTGCCCTCGCTGGCTGCCTGGATTCGCGTGCCAAAGTTTGCCCGGGTGCTACGAATATCGGGACGCGCTGACTGCGACCCGGCGTGGGGAGAACTAAACGTGTCATGTGGCCTTGGAGCGTGGAGGGGGAGCCGATCGCACGCCGCCGCTCTCGGCCTTAATCCTCGCCGGGCGCACGTTTTTTTTTTGGGGGGGGGGGGGAGGGTGCCCGGGGGGCGGGGGTCATCTGGGGAACGTGGATTTATGATTTCTGTAGCAGCCCCGGCTCTCTGGGAAAAGAGGAGGCTTGCAGCCTGTGGGAGCCATGAGGGCGGAGAAGCATGTGTGTGCGGGGGAGGGGGGAGCGGAGCCCAGCCCAGGCGGAGCGGAGCGGCCCGGCCGGGCCATGCGGCTCTGGGGCCCGGGGGGGGAGGGGGGAGGGGAGGGCGGCTGCTTTCGTGCCCAAGGTTCCACGGCGCTGTTGCAACGTTCCAGGCCGCGGTGCGGACGTTCCACGGCGGCGGACTGAGCGTTCGATCCGGGCAGCGCGCGTGTGGGGCTGGGTGGCTGCGCTCGGCGCTTCCTCCCCTTCCCGGCATTCCACTGCAGCAGTAAAGACAACGTGGTTTCTTCTGCTGCGAGCATGTGATTCTCTCTCCCCCCCCCCCCCCGGCTCGCCGCGGGGCCTTCTCCTCTTCTCCCCCTTTCCCGGCACGGATCGCCCCCTCTCCCGCCGATTTGCGCCCCAGCAAGAATCTGCAAAGCTTTAGAGGGTGACAGACAAGCTGTGCTGGGGGGGGGGGGGGGGGATCTGCCAGCCCTCGCCCATCCCCCACTCCCTATCCTGCCTCTCATGTGTCTGATCCAGTGCACCATTGATCGGAGCACGCTGTGTCTTTTTTTGGGGGGGGGGGATTCCCCTCGAACCCCACGTGTTCTCCATTCTCACAGCGGCTCTGCGGTGTGTGGGGAAACGGAGTTCTCCTCCTCCTCCCCACGTGTGCATATTTCTCTGTAGCTTAATGCGGCTGGGCCCTTGACTCCTGTCTCCCTTGCTTTGCTGGCACGGTGACATGTAGGCCTCAATCCTTCATTTCTGTGCAGTTCCATAGCCGGAGTGCGTAACCCTCCCTTCCCAGCATTGAATCTGTGTGGAGGATGGGAAAGGGAGGGTGAATATGCTGGACAAACAACACTCTCTCTCCCCACCCCCTCCTTTGGAATAAATCCTTGGCCCAAAGGAAATTCAGAGTAGCTTTCTGGTAATCGTGCATGTTGCAATGCTGATTCTGTGGTGTAACTTCAGCCCCTCTTCCCCCAAAAGTTACTGGGGGGAGGGAGGGGTGGTTCAGTTGTAGTTTAGTAACAACTGCCTTTTACATTGTGAATTCTTCCTTCCACCATTCTTTTTAGGCCAAGATTGGAAATGCTGAATGCTTTGCATTTCCTTGCACGTTGTAATAGATATTTCCTCCATCAGGAGAAATAAACTGTTTTAGCATGAAGGGAACCCCTGCCAGGAGAAAATACCGAGAATTTTAAATTGATCTCTCATTTATGAGGGCTTTTTAATTTTTCAGCCTTCCCTTGCAAACTTTAAATTACATTCCCAGCTATGACATCTGGTTTCTCATCAGTGCATGTGCCATCATTTTGCAAAAGCTGGTACCATCTAACATGATGTATCATCATAGTTATTGATCTTTGAAAGATGGACAACTCTGCAGTATCTGCTTGGAATACTTTTTTTAGTGGGAAAGAGCATATAGGAGATAACTTAATGGTGCACAGCAAAAATCTCCATGGAGGCAAACTGCTCTAGTCTGTGAAACCATGGAATGATATAAGAATGACTTGTCTTAACAAAGTTCTGACTGTTTTGCTGCCTCAGTTTACAACTTGTTGTATGACCTAAAGTTGATCTCCTCACACCTTCGTGCAGCGGTGAGGATTCCTAATGCTGCTTTGGTGGGCCGCATTCTGAAATAGCCAGAGTTTTTAGCACTTCTAGCATTTTCAAAGTGCAGTACAAACTTTTTGTGATTCAGGAGGCTGATCTTGTTGGTTGTGATGTAAGCAGAAAAGACTTCATCTGTTACTTTCTGCGCATATCCTCTGTGTAGAGCTTTGTGAATTACAATATTTATCCTAAACTCCAAAGCTATAGGACTACAGACTTGCGGTGAGAATGGATTAAAAGTATACCCAAGGTCTGCAATAAAAGTCTTTTGACTTGCCTTCATCTCTTATGCATTAATATTTCAGGTTTTAAAGGACAAAAGACAGCATGTTTTGGAACTGGTCCTGTTATCAGGATGGGAAAATCTTTGTTTTTTCAAAGAAAAAATAATGTACTTCAAGAAAGATACAACCAGTGTTCAGCACTTGAATTGCAACACTACTAGGCTTTTCTGGAGGGGACGGGGGGGGGGGGGGGAGAAACTCCACAACTTATTCTTGTGGGGAAAATTAGTTGTTGAAAGGAAATAATATTGTAACAACCTGAATTCTGTTCCACTCAGTCAGAGTATTCCTTAAGGTGTTAAACAGTGAAATTGACTAGTAGGGCATTTTCTGGAGCTTGGCAGCCTTGTCTATAGTTCACACAATACAGGCCTTGTCAATATTATTCTGCTCTTTGCTCTTGGGGCATTGTTTGGTTGTGTTTTTTTTTTTTTTTTGCTGCCTATTAATTAACAGGAGGAAAAAAGGTGTTTATTTTACAAACATGGTTGTCATAAACTACCCAAATGGACAGATTCATGGCTGAGCTGCCTGATGGGCTCCATCTTGAATATATTTCCTTCATTTGTAGGTTTCAGTCACAGCAAGAAAAGTTCTTTAACTACTTGAGGTAGAGGGTTTCTTACACTCACCAAAAGCTCCTGGAAAGTTACAACGCTTGTATGCCCATTTCACAGATACATGTTGGTTAGGTAAAGTTTTAAGTTGCATGTTAGAACAGTCTTTAAAGGTCTTCCAAGCAAATTGATTTTTGCACATGTTTAATGGTGGCGTTCTAAAGCTCAAATATTTGAGGCAGTTTAAAGTTATTTTTCAAAATACCCAGAATGACTAAGAACTTACTGTAGAACTGCTTTCAAAGCTGCATTTAAGTTCTAGAAGTGTAAAGTATCCTAGACCTGATCCCTGCAAGCTAGTCTGCTTGTGTGAGCCCTTGTGGAGACCTGTGGACATCAGCAGAGCTCTGCAGAGGTACAAGGTTCCCTCCACATAATTGCCTTTGCAGACTTGGGGCCTTAAATAGTTTTAAAAAAAAAAAATTAAACTCCATCATGCATATGCTATAAGCCAGTAGAACAGAATTAAGTGACTAAAGATGCTCTTTAGGCAAAGGCCTCTGCTCAGAATCTGAGCTTTTCGACACTGTTCTGTGCTGATGGTATTTGAATTCAGACTTGCAATACCCCTACAATTCCAGTTCTGGGCATTCCCCACACACAGTTGGTAATTTTCCCGTGTTGTATAGTGGCTTTGAGAGGTATGTGTACTGGGACTCTGGCAGGATACTGTAAAGCAGGACTTACAGCAGGATCTCCAGAGGTGAAGGGTTACTGCACCTGCTGAGATGGCATAGAAGAAGTTGCAGTGAATTTGCTGAGATTCCATTAGTATTGTATGCTCAAAGTCTCTCTGCCTAGAATTTTGACTAGTTTAGTTATGTATTCGGGGAGTGACTCAGAGGTATAAGGAAGCCGGGGAAATATTTAGTTGGGCTCTTAAAGATTAGCACAGTGGTAATGTTTGTCAAATGCAGGAAGACTTGTATCTGAATGGTCTCATAACTTACATGGATACTGGTAATGGTTTCTTTCCTTTTTCTCCTTATTACGGTCTTGTAACAAGATCCAGGTAATTGTAGCCCCTTGGTACACAACTTACTATGTGTTCACTGTTATAGTCTAAATAAACAAAGTCAGTAGCTTATCTCGCCTAGACGACCCTATAATAATAGAGTGTATACAGAAGAAAGGAAAAATATCTTGCAAAGGAAAAGGGTAGTGATTTTGTTTCCAGAGGTGGCTCTACACCAGTTTTAATATATAAATTTCAAAAACAATGTATCGAGATTTTATTTATCTCTAGGTAATTTTTTGGAGAAGAGGAATATGACCAGAGGAGAAACCTTTAACAAATCTCCTCCTAAAATATTTTGTGTAAATCTTCCCCCAATTGTGCAGCTGCATCGGTGTTTGCAACGATGTATGCGCTCGGGTGGACAGGCTTCATGTGTTCCTAGCACCCAGTTGTGGAAAAACTGCTGCACATGCTTAAAGAAACATTGTATCAAGGCACTTATTGCTCTTTAAGCACTACTATATTTTACAGCCTCTGTTGGAACCAAGACCCGCTGGGTTTTCATGACAGTGCCAAAAATGGCTGAGTTCTGTCTACATTAACTCTTAATGCTATTACTTGCACTGGTGCAAGTGCACTGTTGCTGGAAA